GGGTAAAACATGTGTCCTGAGGCGCTTGTGCTAAGAGGGGCAGAAAGACAAGAATTACAGGCATGCGGTGTCCTCAGGCTCCCAGAACAGCCGAGAAGGAAGGAGCCCAGGGCTCAGCGAGGGGCAGGGAGTCCAGAAGGGGTGAGGCACCTGCCCGGGGCCACAAGAGGTTGGGCTCGGTCAGGCAGCCAGCGCAGCCCCTCTTCCCAGCCCAGCGGCCCCCTTCTGCCCCTGCCTCCAGCCCCCTACTCAGATGTATGGTCCCACAAGGAGCCAGTTTGGAGTAGCAGGGACAGCCCCTCAGCTGGGACAGAGAGTGGGGGCTGGGAACATCCCCCCGACCCGGTCCCCCTCCGAATGGGTGCCGCGGGCCGCAGCGGATTAATGGTGCGGAGGCCACTCATTTCCTCTGGCCGGGAGACGGGCGCCTCCACACAGCCCCCCATTGTTGGGACCCTTATCTCGGGCAGTTCCGCTGCCCCATCCGGAGCAGGCAGCTGGGCCCCCATGCCCCCGGCCTCACCTTTCTTTGCCTCTTGGAGGCTTGAGAGCTTGGCAGGGCTGGGGTCACACGGGCCTTGATGCGTTCACCCACCCACAGGAAGCCTGCACTTTCCCCGAGGGCGAGAGCGAGGGGCTGCCATGGAGGGCGGGGCACGGCGCGGTGGGTTCCGCTGGGTTTCAGAAGGCGGGGCCTGGAGGGGTTGAGGAGGAACTGGAAGGGGTGGGAGGTGGTGGAGGAGGGGAGCCCAGGTGGGACAGGACAGGGCTGGGCAGGCCACCATATTCCTCTGCTTCGAACATCCCTTGGAGGAGGGCACGCAGCCCCTGCCCATGCTGGCCCCCATGGCTGAGTGCACTCCTCAAGGCGCAGACACCGACTTCAAGATGCAGCGCGGGCATCACATAACTCCTCCAGGAAGCCTTCTCTGACCCCACCCCCGCCCCCAGCTAGTTGGGCCCCCCCCACCTAGACTCAGTACCCTCCAGCCCCTCTGCCTCCCCCAGTGCCCCCTCAGAGTGCTGGGCACCCTGTGTGGACGCAGTCTAGCCCCCCACTAGACTGGGCGTGTTTTGATGGTGGAGACCCCCCTGTCTTCAGGACTTGCCCCACCCCTACCCTCTCCAGCCTGTAAAGGAGATGGACCCACTAAGGCTGGCTCCACCCCAGCCCCCTCCCCAGCCCACAGGCACTCTAGGTCCCCTCCCCCACAGACCTGCCTTTCCCATTAGCCCACCTACCCGCCCCCCATGCTTTTGGTCAAGTGTGCCCCTCCACCTGGCCTACCCTTTCCACATCTCCCCCTGGCAAAATCCCAGCCGCTCATTAAGACTGCTCAGGTGCCACCCCTCCTTGGAGCCCCCTGAGCCCACCACCTATGCGGGAGACTTGAAGAAATGCCTGTCTCCCTTCTGGACCAGAGCAGTTCCATTCAATAAGTTGTTTGATAAAAAGAGTCCACAGCTAAAAATAGTTTAAAACTAGCTTTGTCCATCCTAACTCTTAACAGAGGAAGACACAGCTCCACTGATGTTTCATGAGAAGTCGAGAAAATAGCAGATTTTCATTTTAACAGAGGCTTTCAGTGTCTTCAGCCCAAGAAGTGATTTAATGGAGGTAATTTAGGCGGTGTGAGAGGGTGAGGACACAGAGATATTGTGGGACAAAGGAGTCTACCCCTTTATAGCTCTTTATATCCTTCCCTGAAGGTAGCTTTCGAAAAGGCTTGGCTTTCCAAAAGCTCTCACTCTGTCACACAATCCACTGACACCTCGAACTCGGCGCTTAGAATTGTGGAGATCTTAGGAGGACTCAGGGAGTCCTGGGCAGGCCCCTCAGCGTCTCAGGGCATCTAAGAGTGGCATCTAAGAGACCATGGACCTCACCTGGCTCTCGGCAGGGGTGCTGCAGGCAGAGGGCCTTGAGGGATGACGACCCAGTGGCCTTGAGCAAGCCTCTCTTCTTCTCTCCTCTCTCCCCTCCCCTCCTTTGGGTCCCCCCACTGCACCTGCTCCTCTGGCCGCTCAGCCTCAGTGAGCTTTACAGGACTCCGCCAGAACCACTGCCATCCCAATCTGGCAGGAGAGTCGGCTCACACAGCGCTCCCCCCACCCCCCATCCCGGCCCGCAGCTCCACCTCTGCGGACAGCCACCACTTCTCAGGCCCGCAGACTAGGGGGGGGATGGGAAGAGGAGACCCCCCCCACACATACACACAAAGGCAACATGGCTGGACCAGCGTTGGCACTCAGCTGGTGCCCCGTAAACGCCTTCTCCTACCCCCACTACTGTCACCAGAGCATGGGGAGATGAGCTGGCACTGGGTCCGCACAGCAGCTTTTCTTCTCGGAGCCTCTGTTTCCTCATCTGCAGATTGGGGATGATGTGGATCCCAGCCTCCCAGGGCCACTGGGAAAGCTAATTGAGATCATGTGCGTGAAATGGCCTTAGAGCCTCCTGGGGTTCGACAAATGTCACTAACGTAATAAAGAGCATTCATAATAAAATGATGGTGCAAGGAAAAGCTCTTCAGGTGGCTTCTGAGAGATGAAAAATGAGTCAAGTTTGAGGGCTGGGTGGGGTGGAATGGGAGTGGGCCCAGGTGTCTGGGAAGCTTCCTGGAGGAGCCCAGATCTGGGCAGAGACCCACAGCCTGGGGTCTGGGGTGGGGGCTGAGGAAACCCTCGAGCCCTCCAGTTGTGGGCAGCTTCCCAGCAGTCCCGTCAACTATGTCCCACCCGCCAACCACCCAGCAGCCCGGGGAGGGCAGCCCCGTGGCCAACAGGTGGTGGAGTGAGGACCCTAAAGGCACACTCGTTCCGTCGATGGCATCTGCTCAGCAGGAATTGAGGAGTAGGGAGTAAGGCCGTGTCACAGAGCAGACAGGAGCAAGCCTGTGCTCTCAGTGCCCACATAAAGGCGGTCAGGGGTTATTTGACAGCTGGAAAGCACTTTCACCTCCATTTCCTCATCCCCCCCATAACCTCCCTGTGGGCCAGCCACTTTCAAACTCATCTTACAGATGAGGAGACTGTGGCTCTGAGAGCTCGTTCAGCGTCACCCAGCTGATGATAGAGGAGCTGGAGGCACCTGGTGCCCAGGCCTTGAGCACAGTGTCTGGAGCTGACTCAACAGCAATAACGTAATCCCAGCCGGCTCCTGGCTCTGGCAGGCCGTAGGTCAGGCGGCACGGCTCTGTCTTCATCTCGGGTGGAGCGCAGTGGTGGCTACTTAGCCACATGTACCCAAAGGCATTATTTAAAGTCAAGAGGCCATTGAGGTAGCCATTGGCATAGTCAAGGTCAGAGATGGTATGGCGTGAGCCAGGCAACAGTCAAGAGGATGACATCTGTCATTATCTCCCAGTGTCACGAATCCTACAGAGGAGAAAACCGAGGTTACCCAGCAGCAAATTGGGTGTAGCAGGGTCCTGAGGCAAATCAGAGCTCTGTCCTCAGTCCCTCAGCTGGGGTCTGTGTGTGAGACCTCCTGCCCGGCTTTGCCCTACTTCCCAGGATGCCCTCATGACCTTCCCCCTCCTATGCGGGTTGGTAGGACAGCAGCAGCCCCTGTGGGGCTCCAGGCCTGACCCATCCCCAGCCTCTCCCTTCCTGGTTGCAGGAAGTCTGGAGCCCTGCAGACTCCCAGGAAGGTTGCTTGCCTGGGCTGGCCAGCTGGAGAGGCCTGGACCTGCCAGTGGCTCTCTCAGGTGAGACACTGGGAGGATCGAGGCCCGCAACACCAAGCTTCCATGTGCTGGAGCCAGGCGAGCCAGGAGGAATCTTAGCGGTCATCTGAGTCATTAGAGGGGAAAAGGTCCCCGAGAGGGCTGTGTCTTGCCCAAGGACACACAGCAAATTTGAGGACACACAGTGGACAGCTCTGTAAAAGATGTAGCTTTCACATCTGTCCTCCTTGGAGGGCTGTGAGAGGGGCAAGGATTATGAGCTCCTTTTCACAAAGAGGGAACTGAGGTTCAGAGAGAGGCGGTGACTGGCCCAAAGACACACAGTCACGCAGGCTGTATGTGAACCCAGGTGTGTCTCCCTCCTTATTCTAAAGTCTTTCCCAGTTCCCATTCTCTCGCTCAGTGACTGCCAGTCAATCAGCAAACTTTCCCTAAGCACCTAGCCTGGTGTAAAGGACCCAGGGAGGAAGTGGCCACATTCTCTGCCCTCAAGGGGCTCCCTGTCTAGAGTTGCCAAGGAACAAGTGCACGTGATGGAGAGAAATACGAAGGAGGGAGGAGACTGAGGGGACTCTGGGCTAGAGCAGTCAAAGAAGACTTCCTGCAGGAGGTGGCATTTCCACAATTGTTTGACTGAGAGAACTAGAGAAGGAGTCCATAAGGTGTGGCTGGGAGAGGGCTGGAGGAAAGAAGCAGGAAATGAACTAGAGTGCCAGCACGCAGGCCTCCTAGAAGGCAGGGGAAAGCAGTTTCTCCAAGGCTGTAGTACAGTGGGAAGAGCTCTTGATGCCAGATCAGACAGACCCAGATACTAATAAAATCCCAGAGGGAGTGGCTGGGCGCTCCTTACTCTGAACCCTCAGCCCCAGCACTGGGTCTGGCGTCAGAAGTCTGTGGAATAAACCAATGACCTGGATTCCAAAAATGAGATAAGTGCCCTTGGGCAAGTCACTCCACTTGCATGGCCTCAGCTTCCTTATCTATGAAATGGGGAGAACCATAAAACGCCCTTGACACGGTTGTTGAGAGGATTCCGTGAGAGAAATCTCTGTAAAATGCCACATACTGTGCTTGGCATGTGGCGAGGTGCTTCATATCTTAAGATATTTCTGTCTTTCTTCATTTGCTTTCTCTCATGTGCAACTTAAAAGTGCTTAACAAACCGCAAAGCTGTTGGCCGGCTTGGCCAGCCCTTCTCAAGCGTTCAGACAGGAATGTACATAAAATGGAGGCCTTGCTGGGACTGGCAGGAGTAATGTCATTTTCAGAAGCAGCAAAACGCTTCAGAGCCAGCAGTTATTTGGGGGTTAGTGACTCAGGGGCATATGAATGTGGGGAGCTGCCCTTTGCTTTATAAATTGTTTCCACACAACTTCAGATATTTCCTGGAAAACAAATGTGAACATAAACATGATGTAAACATGTACGCGGAAATGTATACATGGGGAGAAAGCAAGGCAGGCTGTGAGAGATGCCTGGCGCCTGAATTTCAATCCCAGCTTTGCCACTTAAGCTGTGTGACCTTGAGTAAGACATTGAACCTCTCTGATCCCTTTGCTGGCCAGTAAAATGGGGATAACAGTTCTTACCTTGAGGAGCTACGGAGAGAACTGAATGGAATATAGCTTGTGAAATCAGTGCTAGTGGTTTTGTTATTATTATTATTGATCAAGCACTGTCCCACACCCTGAGGTTAGAGAGAGTACCTCAGCTTGGCTCCTGCCCCCATAGAGCTTCCGGTCTAGTGACTGGAGCTGGGTAAAGAGAAGAACGGAGGACTCCAGGGAGGCCACGGTTCTCCTAGAGCTGAGAGGAAGAGTGAAAGGTAATCTGAAGGTGTGTGTTTGTGGGTGATGTTTGTTAATGCAAAAAAATCCCCCAAATCCCAAGAGCCAGGAGGAGGGCTCGTTGCCCGCGCCAGGCCACCGCATCGGCCACGTGCAGTGCGCGCACGTGCTGCTCCTTTTCTCTCGCGTTCCCTTCGCGGCGCAGCCACGGCGTCTCCATTGTTGTAGGGCGGCGGACGGCCAGCGTCCTCAATTGCTGCCCCTGCCATAGGAACCACGGCCCGACCCCGGGCCCTAGCCCACCGGCGGACACCCCTGGGCTCCTACGTGCCTCCATGTCGCCGTCCCCCACGCCTGCGCACCCTTCTCTTGGCCCTGGACGGACAGTCCACCTTTAGAGACTGATGCATTGAGTCATTCTGCCTGAACTGATTAAGCACCTGCTGGATGCCAGGCCTGGGGCTGGGCGCTGGGGCCCGGGTGCTGGAGGCGGGAAGCGCGGGGCAGGGCGCACCGGACAGGGGACCGGTCCCGCAGGGAGGTTGAGGCTGGACCCGTACCCAGAAGTGAAGGAAGGGAGAGGGAGGGGCAAGAAAGAACGTTTGCGGGGAGACTGAGGCGCGGCCAGCTCCTAGGAGCAAACTCGGGGGACACTGGCGGTCCCGAACCGGTGCGCGATCCTGCCAGAAGCGCGTGGGTCAGTCCCCAGGCCGGGCGGCGCATATTCCTATTTGGAAAATCGCTCCCCGCCCGCCCGTTCCGCGCACGCGTACGCGCATGCCCATACCAAAGGCCTGTTCTAGTAAATGCAAGAGAAACAAGCTGGGCAGCTGGCTCGTTGGTCTAGGGGTATGATTCTCGGTTTGGGTCCGAGAGGTCCCGGGTTCAAATCCCGGACGAGCCCCTCTTTTCCCTCCTTTTATTATCTCGCTCCCGTAGCTAGATAATCTACAGTCCGATGATTATGGAATGGAAGCCCATACAATATGAAGAGGCCGAAGCCCCAACTGGAAACGACGGAGCGATTTCCCCTGCTGCCATCAGTCTCAAGAATTTTTCCAGGTCAAGAAGTACAACGTATTTAGAAACCGGACATGTGGAGCGGAAGGAAGAAGAAAATAAGAAAAAAACAAAAACAGGGCTCGTCCGGGATTTGAACCCGGGACCTCTCGCACCCTAAGCGAGAATCATACCCCTAGACCAACGAGCCACTGCTGTAAGTGCCCCCTCGACTCTCTTTCTAAGGAGATCCGGCGGCGCCATGGAGCCTGCGCAGTTCAACCCTGGGCCTCTCTTGCACCTGCGTCCAGCGCCCGCAACAAGCTCAAGACTCCGCGTCCGCTCGATACAACCCAGACGCCGAGATTCTTTCTTTTGCCTGCGAGCTCTGCGTCCGGACGTGGGGACAACGCACCCAGCCGTCGTGCGCTAGGGATATGTGCCTGTCTGCAGACGGAGCTGCGGGTTTACACCGGGTCTCGGCGCTCGCGCTGGACCTCGGGAGGGTGCTGGCCGCGGGGTCCCCCCCGCGCCGCCTAGCCTTTGCGGAGCTCCCTACCGCGGTCTCACGCCGCCAGCATCAGTACCAGCACTGTCGCGCAGCCCGGGCCTTGGGCTCCTGGACGTCTGGCTTTATGCGAAGATAACCGGAGTTGGCGAGGCTTCGGCCTGAAATTTCATCCGGGCTGGGTCAGGTGTGCAGATTCCTTCGTTTAGCACCGAACTTGGGCGGAACTCCCGTCCTCGCCAGGGGGGCCTCCTAGCACGGGGCGTGCCTGGCACCTCTTCCCGCCCGTCGCCTCTGCGTCCCCGGGCCCAGGATTCTACGCTCCCTGAGAGGCCTCTGTGCGCAGCATGGATTCCAGACCCCCCAAGAGAAACAGGGGTTCCCTGGAGCCCCTCCACCGTTTGTCTCCTCTGTGTCCCTGGGAAATGTAGCCGGCGTGTTTGGGCTGCCCGCCCCGTGAAATGGGGGTATCAAGGTCTGCCCGCTCTCTTCCGGAGAGGGGGAGGGAGGGAGGAGGAGCTGCGGGGTCCCCACCATCGCACGCACGCCCCTGAGAGGGAAAGGTTGGTGGCAGTGCTGGCCCCCAGTACACATGCCACCAGCCGTCCAGCCGATTCCAGCCAATTTCCATTGCTTGTCATTCCTCACACACACACCCCTGACTTACGCTGGGGACACTGAGACAACAAGGCCCGGGAAGGACTTTTGCAAACCCCTTACAGCTGTGCCTGCGTCTTCGGGGTTCGCTGAGCCTCGCACTTCCTTATTCCCAGGTCTGAGGAAGTGCGGGCAGGAAGAAATATCTCAAGCTGGTCTGCTGGAAGCGTTTGTAAAGCTTCTTTCACTCCACAGCGCGATGTGCCTGGCGCCTGCTCTGCCCCAGCCCTGGGCTGGGCCTTGGGGACACTGATGAGTCAGACCTGCCTCCCGAACCCCCTGCCCAGTGGCGGCCACAGTGGCTGCGCCCTCTGCCCAGCCCAGGGCTGTGGGCTGGTCTGCAGGACCTCAGTCTGGGCCTTGGCTGGCTGTGGTTGCTGCTGAAGGAGGCTGTGGCCTGGACGCAAACCGGGGACCTCACCTCCTCGGCCTAGGCCCTCCACACCCCCAGAAAGGCCTTCTTCCTGGACAGTCCACACTGCTGCAGGCCCTGCAGGGGCTTCCTAGGGGCCTTGGGCATAATGATGAGCTCTTAGCCTGCCACTCTCAGCCCTGAGACCTGAACCCCCTGCCCACTGTCACCTCTCAGCAGGCCCCCTCACTCCATCTTGAACACCCCAGGCCATGGTTCCATTCAAAGCTGCCATTCCATGGAGGGTGCCCCCGGCTTCCTGTAAATTCCCAGCTTTGCCCTTTCTGCTCCAGCACGTCCTCCACAAGGCAGACCCAAACTGGGTCAGGGCCTCCTCTGGTGCCCTCAGCTCCTGCGTTCCCTGTCACCCTGGCTGCCTGACCCCTGCATACATCTGTGTCTCCACCAGTGGGGTGGAGGGAAAGGGTTCCCGAGGAAGGACACGGGCCAGGTCAGCAGAGGGCCGGGCCCAGATGACCTGTGGAGAGGGTTTGTTAAATGAGTGCTATTTTGTCTCTTTTCTAAAAGCTGAAACCAAAGAAAAACGTCACAACAGCTCAAAGCCTGGTCGGAGTCAGAGGTTCGAGAACAGCTCGTTTGCCCTCTCAATCGGCACAAAATGCCTGTCAGCCACGAAACGTCCGAGGGGGCTTCTCTGGCCCCTCTGTGACAGCTGGGGCCCTTGGAGATGACTTCACTGGACAGGGGTCAGGCAGAGCAGGAGGGGCCCAGGAGGAGGTGACAAGGCGACTTTCTAACCAAAAGGGCTTCCGGCTCAGAGGCCTCAGTGTGGACTAAGTAGGCCCAGGAATGTCTCGGGGAGGCCATATAGAGGCCAGAGCATGGGAGATGGCCAGGGGCAGGTACCTGTGGGTGCATCCCCCCAGAGTTTGCAGAGAGGCAAGGGGCAAGGGATGGAGGGTGGTGGGGAGTGGTTGTCTTTGCTCCTGCTGAGCCAGCAGGTGGGATAATAGGCCCATCAGGCCTGAAGGCCACTCCTCCAGGCAAATCTGGGCTGCGACTGGGCTCTCTGAGTAGATGGTGTGATATAAATATTTAGGCCCCACTAGCTGTTCACACCCTTCTCAGGGGGGACTCAAGACTTCACAGCTGCAGGGCTGTGATTGATACCATGCTCCTGACAGCGGCCAAGCAGGGAGTCCTGGAGAGTCTTGGCCCTCAGAGCAGAAGGGAAGGGGCAGGGAGAGAGGGAGGAGGGGGAGGGCAGTCTCCGTCACTCACACCCTCATTTATCCTGTTCCTTCAGCCCACAGCCCTGCGCTGGGAGCTGCAGGAGGTACACAGAGTGATAAGCTGATTCCTAAGGCGCTCTGTGCAGCTAGCGTGCGGGTGCTCCAGGGAGAAGAGGATGAGTGGGGAGAGAATGGGAAGGCAGGGAGGAGAGCAGGGAGCCGGAGGTGAGAGCGAGGAGGGGCCAGGGAGAATGAAAACCCAGGCTGTTGGTGGTTTCTTCTTTTTTTAAGAGCCACAAGCTGAGATCAAAGGTGATATTTTTGCAGCAACTGAAATAGAAAACCACTGCGCGCACAGTGGGAGGTGAGCGGCGGGAACACAGGCCCCTTTATGCAGCCTGTGGCCACAGCAAGCACGCTGCCCTCTGCCGAGTGTCATGGGGCGTAGGGGACAGTGTGGCCTCCATCCTCCCAACTTAGGTCCCAGAAAGAAGTGAAGGGGGTGAGCTACAGCTCTCGGTGCTGGGAGAGGAGAAGGTGGGCAGTCAAGGATCGTATGAGCACCCCGCGCCTGGCACCTTCCGCCAAGATCACCCTCGCCATTCTTGCTGGAGGTGTGAGATTGGAGCCAGGCCCTGGTCATCCTCACAGAGCCCTGTGAGGAAGGGTCATTGTCACCCCTGTTTTACGGAGGAGGAAACCAAGGCTGCAAGGGAAAAATAATTTGGTCAAGTCGCACAGGGAGTTGGGAGCAAATTCAGGACTAGGATCCCAGGACTCCTGGTCCAACACCCTGTCTGCTCTCTGTGCTCACTCACACACTCACGTGCTGAATTATTTATTGCGCTTCTGCTATTGCTGGTCCTAGCTGGCCCCGACATAGCAGGGCCCACACTCAAGTCTACCAGGACACTGGTTCTCAAAGTGTGGTCGCAGGATCAGCAGCATCAGCCTCACCTGGGAACATGCTAGAAATGCAAATTCTCAGGCCCCAACCCAGACTTACTGGACCAGAAACTCTGGGAGTAGACCCAGCCCTCCATATTTTAATGAATTCTCCAGGGGATTCTGATATGCACTGAAGTTGAGGGTCACTGTACTGTGTTACCTCAGTTTCCACAGCTGTGCTTCAGGGAAAATTACAACACCCATCTCACAAGGTTGAGCCCAGTATCAGCTAACACGTGTGCTGTGTGTGTGCCCTGCATCCTTCTAGGCCCTTTACAGATGTCAACTAATTTAATTTCACAACTCCGGGAGATAGGAACTAATATTGTCCACATTTCACAAATGAGGACATGAAGGCACAGAGAGGTAGAATAACTCGCCCAGGGTCACACAGCTAGTAAGTGGCAGAGATCCAAGCTCTTAACAGCTAACCAGCGGAAAGCCCCCAGCAGAGGGTCTGGCTCCCGGAATGTGTTCCAGGCGTGGCTGAAGATGTGATGATGGCAATTACTATTACCTCACCTGAAATTGAGATGATGATCCCCATTTTGTAAATGAGAAATTGTCCACCTTGTCAAGATGGAGGAGTGAGTCAGCTGCAAGGGCAGCCTCAGTGTCTGAAAGCCCAGTGCAGGCCACAGGCCCTCACCATTCATGCAGCTTCGAGACCACAATATAGCATCTCGGTCTTCTGGAAACATCCCAGTTTGCTGTAGGGAAGAGCTTGGGCTCTGACAGAGGTGGGCTGGAACCCTAATTCTGCTACTCAGGGGCTGTGTGACCTTGGACAAGTTGCCTCACCTCTCTGAGCCACCTTTTTCTTCTCTGTAAAGTGGATGATGACAGTCCTAACCTTGCAGGTTCCTGCGAGGGTTGGAGAAGATGACATTTGTGCCCAGCCCAGAACATGTACTGAGCTGGCCATCAGCACGCAGCTTGTCCCTCTCTCCTCCCCCTCCCTGCTACTACCTCCATGGAAAGACCAGCTCTGGGCCCAGAAAACAGTTGAAAGAAGAAGAAATAAGTTCCCAAATGATCACAATGCATTTGTCCTCCAGCCTCCCTGCCCTTTTCCAGATCTCCTTGCAATAGCCGCCCGGGCTGGGGCTTCTGGGGGAACTCTGGCACCTGCTCCATCCAAGTTGGGAGGTAAGTAAGCTACGAAGGGAAGAGGAGGTGTCCTCTGAGCCACCACCGCCGCCCGGGGGGCCGCCATCAGCCAAGCCTCTGCACACCCGCCTGCTGCGAGGCAGTCTGGCCTGGACATCTGAAGCTCGTTAGCGGCCTGCTCCCGGGGGGCTGACCCTGCTTGGCGAGAGTTATCCCAGACACAGCCGCAGAGGATGGAGCCAACGAAGACCAGGTGAGGTGTGGCCACAGACGGGGGAACACAGTCTCTGGAGTGGCCTCTGGGGACCCCTGGAGAGCAGAGGAGGCTGAGAGAACGCACCGAGCCTGGGCCCAGCTCCAGCCCATCCACTGGCTCCCAGCTTTGCAAACTGGAGATGGGGGGTGGGAGGGGACCCCTTTCCCTCTTTGGACCTCTGTTTCCCCATGTGTGCCTTGGAGGAGGGGCAAACATGGCAGACGCTGAGGACCTTCCAGCCCTGACACTGTGGGGTCTCAGCCTGGCCTAGAATTCCCAGCCTCTGAGGTTTAGCCCAGAGCTGGTGAGTGAGGGCTGGTGGGTGGAAGACAATTCAGGGATGGAGAGCCATGATGCCTGCCTCAGGCCTGAAGATCAGAGGGGAGCCCATCTCCAGAAAGTGATGTCGCATTTCAGAACAGTCAGGGAGGTGCCCTCTCGGTATCCGTAGGTGGCAGAGACGGCGTGAGCTGAGCCTCCTGGATGCAGGGGCTCCCACTGGACCGATGGCCAAGTTCAAGACCCTCCTCCCTTTCTGGACCCAGCACTCCGCCCTGCTGTCCAGCTAGGCCACAGCTAACTTTCACTGGCTCCTTGTTTTATTCCAGGCACTGTTCTAAACACTATACACATATTCAAATCATTTGACCTTTCACTGGGTGGCAGGACCTGGGTGAGGGACCAGCCTGGAGTCTGGCCCTTATCTGGTTGGTCCTGATGTTGACCTTTCTCAAGATGCCTAGGAAGGTCAGACAGGCTGGCCCTAACCATGTCGCTCAAGGTCAATGCCTCCTCCCAGCACTATTGTAAGCAACCCCGGGCCGGCTCCCTTTCTGCTGACAGGAGTGCTCTTGTCCCCTCCCCCGTCTCCTTCCCTCCTGGGAGCTGGGTCTCTGGGAAGCTGGGGCCTGGAGGGCCTGGAGTCTGAGCAAAGGGGCGAGGAGGGCTTGTGCAGAGGGCTGTTCACGCAGACCTTGGTGAAACCTGATGGACTGTCTCCACTCCGCAGAGAAGCCCTCTGGGGACTGGGATGGGCACGTCCCTCAGACAGTTCTTCCCTTCTGGACAGTGTTGGATGTGCACACAGCCAAAGTGGGCTTCTCTGGACCTTGGCTCTGCTCTGGACACCTCACTCCTTGGTTACTGCATTCTTTCTTTGGCTGGGTTAACATCTGTGATGACCAGGCTGGAGAGCTGTGTCCGGAGCCAGGGAGCATTTTGAGTCTCTTACTTCTCACTGGGCAGCCTCCTTACTGGCATTTCTAACAAAGGCCCAGAGAGAGGTGGGGACCTACCCAAGCTCACACAGACAGTCAGGACTGAGACAACCTGGATTCCCAGCGCGTTCCCAATTACATGGTTTATCACTTTCAAATATGAAAAATGAATTATATCACTGCAGAAAAATTAGAACATACAGATAAGAAAAAGCAAAAATAAAGATACCTTTGGTTTGTTTCTCAGAGAAACTTCCACTGCCCTTCCCCGTCCCTTCTCTCCACTCCCCCAGCCCCAGCCATAATCAATACCTCGCCTCCTTTTGCCAACAGCTGGTCCCTGAGGAACAAGCCTTGACAGCAGGTCCTGGAAGACAGCCTTAGACCGGATTCTGGAAAGGCCTGGCGTCTCTTCCCGAACAGCAGAGCTTCCGCCCAAACGGAACTGCTTAAGTGCAGGATACAGTAGGAAATACTCCCCGCCAGGACTCGGGAGCCTGCACCCAGCCCTGCCTAGTTTGTGGATCGACTCTGTGTGACCTTGGGCCAATCCCTGCCCTCTCAGTTTCTTCCACTGTAGAATGAAGACTTGGACTTGACCAAGTGGTTTCCCCGCAGCCTATCTCAGTCTTTCAGCTTCTCTTGGTCCAGGGCCGTGCCCTCTCCTCCTAAGTAGACCATACAATTTAGAATCAGAGGGCAGGGTTCAAGCTCCCCAAGGTCATCACTCCCTAGCTGTGTGACCCTGGGCAGGGCACCACACCCCTCTGGGCTCTGCTCCCCCATGGAAAGACAGAGTTCAGAGAGTGCTCACCCTCTGTGTCTGTGTCTCAGGGCTGCCATAGGTCACATGAGAGGTGGACCTCCAAGATGTCTGGACGATGCAGAGCGAGGTGTTCTACTGGCCTATTAACTGCGAGTGCCCCCTGCCTGCCCAGCGCCCAGCTCTGTCCTGGCTCGGGGTCTGGCCCGGGCTTGCAGATGCAGCCCCTGCCTGCCCGCAGACTAACAGAGCTCTGGCAGGAGGAGTGTGCGGACCCTGGGCCCAGCCCGCTGGATGAAGTGTCAGTTACTTTGCCCAGGGGGCCTCAGGGCCCATGACATCATGGACAGCACTTTCCATGTTGGAGCTCACAGAACTAAGGCCATTTTAAAAAATAGCACTGCCTTTTTTCCTTTCTTTCTTTTTCCATTTTGGCTAAGGCATGGAATGTGAAAGCTGCTAAATTATTGCAGGAAGGAGTAGAGGCTGGGTTCGTAGCTGACTCTGCTTTCTGGGGTCCTAAAAACAATGGCAAACCCAGGAAGGCTGGCCCTTGCTTCCTCATGCCCACCTCAACCCCACTGCAGGCTCCCCTGACAAGACCAAGGGGCGGGGGACAATAATGACCTGCCCCTGGTTCCCAGATGACCTCTCTGGACCTCAGCTTGCCATCTGTTGTGGACTGGATGTTTGTGTCCCCCCAAAATTCATATGTTGATGCCCTACCCGCTAGTGTGATGGTATTTGGGTGGCGCCTTTGGGAGGTCATAGGTTTAGATGAGGTCATGAGGGTGGGGCCCCCATGATGGGATTAGTGTCTTTCCAAGAAGAGGAAGAGAGACTAGAGGTCTCTCTCTCTCCGTGTCTCTCTCTGCCAGGGCACAAAGAGGTCGTGTGAGCACACAGCAAGATGGCGGCCCTCTACAAGCCGGGAAGAGGGCTGTCACCGAGACCCAATCTGCCAGCACCTTGCTCTTGGACCTCCAGCCTCCAGAACTGTCAGAAATAAATGTCTGTTGTTCAAGCCACCAGCCTGTGGGACTTTGTTATAGCAGCCTGAGTGGCTTAGGACACGTCTATGAAACAGGCAGAATAACCCCTCCCCTGCCTACTGCTGATAAGAACAAAATGCAATAACAACTAACCATCCATTTAGTCACACATTCATTCAACCAATGTTTATGAAACACCTTCTGTGTAACAGGCCCTGTTCTAGGAGTGAGCTAAGGAGACAGAAATCCCCGCCCTCAGGGGGCAGACATTCTACTTGGAGCAGACAGACAGTAACCAGGTAAAGAAGCAAGCATACAGCATGTGGATGGGTGATGGTAAGTGCTGTGGAGAAGTCCACCTGCAGGGAGGACAGAGAGCGCCAGGGCGGGACGGGGCCTGTTGGCACTTTCAAATAGGGAGGGCAGGGCAGGCCTCCCTGAGAAGGGGGCCGTTGGGGATGCTGAAGGAGGTGAGAGGGGGCCGTGTGGTCACAGGGGACGGGCAGCCCCAGCCAGAAAGGACACTGGCCGTTGGAGGAAGCAGGGTGCAAGTTGGAAATAATTTCTAGTGTGTCTCCTGCGCCTCAGAAGCCCTCCGCTCCATTCCGGGCTGGGGCAGGCTCTGAAGCGTTCAGGGCTCAGTTACGGGTGGCACAGTCTCATCTTACCTGGGGGACTGACTTAACAGGCCTTTGCTAAACAGCTCTTCCACGTTAGGCACCAGAGAATGTCTGAGGATGCCGGAGAGAGCTCGGACTTGCTCCCTGAGCAAGCAGCCTGCGTGTCAGGAGGCCTGGGCTCTTGTGCTGGCTCTGCCACTGGCTGACAGTGTGACGTTAGACACAGCACTGCCCTCTCTGGGCCTCAGTTTCCCTGTCTTTAAAATAAGATGGCTGGTGATTGCCAGGGGCTAAGGGGAGGGGAAGAGGAGGCATGACTGCTATTGGGTATGCACTTTCTTTCTGGGGTGATGAAAATGTTCTGGAATTAGGTAGTAGTGATGGTTGCACGACTTTGTGAATATACTAAAATGCACTGAATGGTACACTTAAATAAAAACTAGGAAAAAAAGGTGGCTGAGTGGACAAGATGACCTCTAAAAGAAGGAGCACTGTTATTTTTTGCGCCTACAATACCCCAGTGCCTGGACTCAGCACTTACATGCTATCTCATGATCTCTAGGGTTCCTTCCAGTTCAGACTCTCTGTGATCCACCACAGTGACGTTCACATTGCCATCACTCATCAGTGAGTCCAACCTGAGCCCCTCCTTCAGGCCCGAAGCTGGTCTGGAGGCTGGGGAAGAGAGGAGAGAGGGGAGCAGTCTCTGAAAGGGGAGAGGTCTCTCCCTACAGGAGCTCCAAGCCTGTGGAAGAAATCAGAAGAGCACATTGTGCCCAGGAGGTTATTTTCTTTAGGACTAGCTCCTTCCTTTTCTTTCCTTGTATAGGGAAGAACCAAGAAATACAAGAGTGGCCCACCGCTGTGTGGCCGTCCAGGGGCACCTGGGAGTTGATTTATTCATTTATGCACCGGGGCCATCAGCTGGGTGGTCAGGATACAACAGTGGGCAAGTCAGACCCAGCCCTGCCCTTGGCAAGGGAGACAGACTTCAAAACAATCAAACACACAATCGAGACTTTCTTTCATTATTGTTTTTGTGATGGGTGCTGTGCACGAAAAGCAGACGATGTATTGAGTAGCTTACCAAGGGCACTGGCGTGGCTTGAGCTGAGTTCTGAGGACGAGTAGGAACAATGAAGGGGCGTGGAGAGATGCTGGTGATGGTGTGGGGCGGGCAGAGGTTCCAGGCAGTGCCGAGGCCCTGAGCGTCTGTGGAGGAAGGCCAGAGAGCTGAGGGGCAGCTGCAGCAGACACAGGCCACCCCCGGCCGTGCAGGGCCTTAGAGGCTGGGGGCATACACATGCTTTTATGCCTGCGGTCCCTGCTCACTCCTGAGCGTCCCAGTTTGGACAATAAACTATACACTCACCCTACTTACAGGCCACATTAGCGGGTTTGTCGTAAGAACAAGCGGTGTTCCAGGAAGTCTTGGTCATCGCTCCCTCCTTCCCGGCCTCCAGGCCTGCCGCTCTGCACGTCCAGGAGCAAGAGCCTGCCAGCCTGAGTGGCCACGGTGGTTATTTGAGCTGGAAGATGTGCGAAAAGCCCTGCTTGGCAGCCCCTGGCCGCTCAGCCCCGCTGCCCTCCTCCCAGGCAGACCCTGCTCCCCCATGCCAGCTTCCTCCTCTTCAAGGTCTTGAGGTGAGAGCTTTCCACCAGGTCTCAGGCCAAGCATGGTTCTTGGCTCCCGGTTCGGTGAGCCGGTTTCCGGCCATCCCCGCCCTCAGCTACTCCCTGAGGACCCGCTCCAGGCCCCGGCCACAGCCTTATGCTCTTTCCACTCTTGTTCTTTATTTTGCCTCTCTTTATTTATCCTCTCTGTGTGACTCTCTCCGTCAGCTGGGCTCCCTCTCTCTTGCCCTCCTCTTTTTCTCTCGTTTCTCTCGGGTAGCTTGGCATTATGAGGAAAGCATGTGCTTCAGGACAGATGGAACCGGGTTCAAATCCCAGCTCTGTCACCTGCAAGCTGTGTCATCTTGGGCAAATGCATCCTCCTCTCTGAGCCAGTTTTGGGTTCTCTGAAATAGGGATGTTTCTCTGGGTGGTTGTGAGCTGAGATGAAGTTCACCAAGTGCCTCCTGGGACACAGCAGGTGGTTAACAAATGGAAGTTTCCTCTGACCTTCCTGTCACACTTTCTTCTCCCCACCCACACTTTCTTCTCCCCACCTTCCTGTCACACTTTCTTCTCCCCACCTTCCTGTTACACTTTCTTCTCCCCACCTGAGTGTTTTGCTCACTTAACTGCAAAGCAAGAAACAAAAGCCCTCCCACTGGACCCCAACCCACCTTGCTGTCTCTGCACAGCCCAGGGCAAGGGGAGCCAACAGCTCCGACGACATGTGCAGCCTGCTTGTGCCAGCCCTGTGGCCGGGAGGCGTGGCCAGATGTCATGGCCTCTCTGCCATGGGGCTCCTGAGGGGGACGGGGGAGGCATCCTCTGAGCTGTGCTGTAACGCAGGCCCCAGAGTCCTTTGTTTTTTCACCAATCAAAGGACAAGAGAGGCAGCCTTTCAACACAGACTTCTCACTGTCCCCCCACATCCCACCCAGCACTTCTCGGACACCGAGGCATTGCTCACGCCCCTGACCCCGCCTGGAGCTCCCTTCTCTCTCCCTCTTCTTTTGTGCCTGACACCAGCTCTGAGGCTAAGACACGACAGAGGAGGAGACTGAAGCTCAGGGACATCCAGATGTTGGTATTTTTTACGACGAGAATGCTTTCAGTGCAATACATTGTGCTATTTCTTAAAAGACAAAATAAAATAGCTTGCCTGGGGTTACAGGGCATCGGGAATTGAAAGACAGCTCTGTGGGGCTCCAAATTTCTCATTTGTTCTCCTCCATCTGCCACGCTCCCTGTCACATAGTTGTGACTATGTGGATGCTACTGTAACTTACTTCCCGGATGTCACTTAAAAGGTAATTGTGTAAATAAACCCATACACGTATGGTCAGTTGATTTTTGACAAGAGAGCCAAGACAATTCAATGGAGAAAGAACAGTCTTTTTAATCAATGATGCTGGGACCACTAGATGTCCACATGCGCAACAATGATGTTGGACCCCTACCTCATGCTATATACAAAGATTCACTCAGAATAGATCAAAGACCTAAATGTAAGAGCTAAAACGAGAAAACTCTTCTTAGAAGAAAACTTAGGTGTAAATCTTCACGCCCTTGGAAAAGACAATGATTTCTTAGATATGACACCAAAAGCACAAGCAAGCAAACGAAAAAGAAGCAAAATTGGACTTCATAAAAATGTAAAACTTTGTGCTTCCAAGGACACTATCAAGACAATAAAAAGACAACCCACGTAATGGGAGAAAATATTTGCAAATAATGTATCTGATAAGGAGGTAGTACCCTAGTTTCCAGAATACAAAAAGAACTATGATTCAACAATAAAATAACAGATAACCCAATTTTTTAAATGGACAACAGATATGAACAAACACTTCTCTAAAGGAGATTACAAATGGCCAATAAGCACATGAAAAGATGCTCAGCATCATCAGTTACTGGCGAAAAGCAAGTCGCGACTACAAGGAAATATTACTTCACGCCCGCTAGGATGGCCCAAATGAAAAACAGGGAAAAGAACAAGTGCTGGTGAAGATGTGGAGAAATTGGAAGGTTCACACGTTACTGGTAGAAATGTAAAATGGTGCCGCCACTGCGGAAAACAGTTTGGCAATTCCCCAAAAGTCATACAGAGCTACCAGATGATCCAGCAATTCTTCGCCTAGGTATATACGCAAGAGAGTTGAAAGCATATAAAGCTTGTACATGAATATTCACAGCAGCGTTACTCAGAATAGCCATAAAGTGGAAACAACCCAAATGTCCATCAACTGATAAATAAAATTTGGTATATATCCATCAGTGTTATCTAGTTATAGGAGGAAATGACTGACATGCTACAACGTGGATGAACTTGAAAATGAACTTGAAATGTCCAGAATAGGAAAATCCACAGAGACAAAAAGGAAATTAGCAGTTGCCAGAGGCTGAGGCGGTGGGAGGAAAGGGGAGTGAGAGCTATGGGATTTCTTTTGGGGTGACGGAAATGTTCTGAAGTTAGAAAGTGGTGATGGTTGCCCAACTTTGTGAATATACGAAAAACCACTCACTGGTACAATTCAAAAGGGCAAATGGGTGGCATGTGAATTACATCTCAACTTTCTTTCTTAAAAAAAAAAGTAGTTGTGTCGATCTGGAAAGGATTTTGCAGAACATCGAACCCAACATCCAGCCCAGCCCTCCATGTTAAAGACAGGGAAAGGAAAGCCCAGAGAGGGAAGGATCCCACAGCAAGTCTGAGACAGCGCAGGCATGACACCCAGAACTGTACCTGCCCCCTCTCCTCTGTGCAGATTCTTAGTTCCTGGAGGGCAAGAACCTCTAT